TTACTTTAGAATGAACCTGCTCCAAAAACTTGAACCTGGTCACTCATTTGGAAAATGTAGGTCAGATCCAGCATCCGAAGCAAGCATGGTAGTGTGCATCCTTAGTTGTATCATCCATGCAAGTTTGGTCAATATATAGCTGATAGTTACTTTGGAATGAGACCTGCTCCAAAAACTTTAACCTGCTCCAAAAACATTAACCTGCTCATTTTTTATCTGAAATTACAACATCTGAAACTTTGACTGGTACAATGAAACATACTAGAAACATCATCCATGCATCTCTGATTAATATAGGACATAGAAGTATCTGCTCCAAATACTTTAACCTGGGACGCCAACATCGAGGGTATTACATAAGCTCCCCCCCTCGCCCCCCCCCCCCCCCCCCCCCCCAAACAACTTCATTGAGGTGAGCTAAAAAGATTTAAATGTTTGAATTAAAAAGTTACAGCCAACATGAAAGTTTCTTAAAGCTGCATCAAACTTCAAGAGTAAGGTCATGAGGTCAAAGGTCAAATACAAAAACACAATCCTAAAGGTCTTGTCACAAGTAATGTACCATCTCTTCTGGAGCAAACAATATGGTCAAAGTTAAAATTTTAGATAAGTACATAAATATTCTAGGTCAAGATCAGGAATTAAATCTTTAAGATGTTGTTACAGGTAATGTACATGTAAAATATGAAATCCCTGTCTTCTCATTCAAAAGTTATTACCAATGTTAAAATTTTTTGAAAAGAACTGTTGGTTGAACACTAAAGTCAAGGTCACAGGATCAAACATCATAGTACATTTGGAAAGGTCTTGTCACAGGTAATGTACATGTCAAATATGAACACCCTATCTTTTTTTCCATTCAAAAGTTATAACCATGCAATATTAATTTTTTTGAAAAGTAGGTCAAACTTCAATGGTCAAGGTCATGGGGTCAAAAATCATAGTAGATTTGGAAAGGTCTTGTCACAGGTAATGCACATGTCAAATATGAACACCCTTTCTCTTCTCATATAAAATTCATTGCTTATGTTCAAATTTTTAAAAAAGCTGGGCAAACTTCAAGGTCATGGGGTCAAAAATCATAGTTTATTTTGAAAGATGAAATATGAAAGCACTGTCTTTTCTCATTCAAAAGTCATGACCAAGGTTAAGGTTTTTGTGACAGACAGACAGATGGACAGACTGATGAATGAGATTTAATGTCCCCTCTCTTTTGCAAAAGAGGGGTCAAAAAGTTGCACATCAGGTCATTATAGGGTTCTTACCTATTTGAACAGGAAGGTCTGACCAGTTTATGGGATATCTTTGTGTTGGGTTGCCATCAGAGTCAATTAGAATAGATGCCTCATCCCGCCCTAACATTAATCGGTCTTCATCTAAACGAGCTATGATTGGTTCTTGTTGTTTACTGCCTAGGGGAAATAACTCTTTGGTATCACCTGAATTAACCTACAAAATAAAAAAGCACTATGTACTTGTATATAAACTCCACATGAAAAGTAAGTTTTTGTTCATTTAGCAAACTAGAAATTTGTGCAATAAAAAAAAGTTTTAAAGACCTCATATTCTAGATATTTAAATCTTACAGAATGTTTTACCTTCATCCTACTCAATCTTTAGATGTAATTGTGTGTTGGTGTTGCCAGGAATATTAATGAATGACTTATTTCTGTGCAGAAAGCTTGTCAGCTAGTTACCTTGACTAGAAAGTACTCTCTTTTATAAAATCCTACACAGATAGAATCTTTGCACCAGCTCATGGCTCTTGGGACTTCATATAAAGTGAACTCATCCTTCAAAGATCAATCCATCTGATGAAATAATTCTACTCCATTTTTTTTACATAAATTTTGTAAACAATTTAGCAAAATAGTCTTATTTTCAACATCAAATTATGTTTGCTGAAATTAAAATCATGAAAATTATTATCATTTTTGTAAAATATTTCCATCATTTTATGACTGAAATTACATAAAAGCAATATAAATATAAAATAAAACTGCATACCTTCAAGTCATGAAAATTTTTGTTTTTCCAAAACATTATCTATAAAATAAAGTCAATCTTTTAACATAAATACTTCAGTATACAGTATACCTAGTTCTTCAAGAAAATCAAATGATTAATTTTAATATTTTATGCTCACAAATGGCATTTACATGAACAGAACACATAGTAAATGTGCATGCATGTGATGCCATAGTTCGAATGCTTCTATTTCTAGAAATTAACTCACAGTTATAATACTTTAATTACAAATGCCCATGTTGATATAAAGACATTTGTTTTATACGTAAGCTTTATTAAGTCTTTACCTGGAGCTTTCTCCTGACTGCCACACACAGTCTTAACATACATTGGTCTCCTCCTGACAGGGTCTTTGCATTCTGAAATATAAATACATTGTGTTAGTGTAGTGTTCACCACCCCCCTACCCCCATCACCCTTTCCAAAAGAGAGAGAGAGAGAGGGGCAAATACTTTGGGATACCTTTTACCAGTTGTCAGAACATTTGTGCAGAAATAAGATTACATAATTTGATTTTTTAAAGTAAATCAAGTATAATATCAAGATTTTAGTAGAAATTGAGCAACTGTCTCAAGAAATAAATGTGTTTAATTTAATAAAAAAAAAATAATTGACTACCTGTACATCCACAGCAAACAATGTTGCCCCTTTTGTTTTGTTTAAACATACAACTAACTGGAATGTCTTGAGATCATGGACACTGACAACATTCTCTGCAAACATATCATCAGAATCAAAGTTATTTGTCAAGGGTGCATCAAAGTAGTTCCAAATCCTTTCTTACAATAAACTCCTGGCAAAACAATTCTGTATATTATTTCTTAGAGATGTCAATAAAGACAATTGATGGATTTTCAATGTGAAGCTATATTATTAAGTCTCGGAACCCAAAACTAGTCTGTCCTTGACAAGTATCTGAATATTTTACCTGAAAGACTGATGAGTATATAGAGTTCTGGCACTGCTGATAACTGTAAACAATTGTAAATTTTGTATTATAACCCCAGAAGAAACTTTATCTTTCTATCATTTCTTACTCACATTTAAATTAGAAGATCAATTGATATACAAGTTTATAAAATATAAATCTACTGATGTTATTTTCAGTAAGTATTCTTACTGGTAATTTAAAAAAAATTTACAATGTTGACATGTATGACAAAAATGAAAGGTCATCAATAAATACAGATTGTATAACATGTAACACATTTTCAAATTTATTGAAAATAAAATTAGAATGTTTAAAACAGGTTGTACGTGTATTCTTATACATAAAATGACTGATAGGTAAAACAACACTTTTTTAGACAACACTTATAATATAACTTCTGATATACAATAGGAAGAGAATGGAAAAAAAAAGGACTTTAAAAATCAAATTTGAAAACATTTACATTTAAAGAATAAATATTCTTATAACAAGCTATTTCCATTCAAACCTGGGATATTGGCTTCTTTCCAAAGTTTTTATTGCTGCGTTCCAAGACAACATCATATTTATTTTCCCCTGCAATGGTTGCATGAAAATAAAGCAATTAAAATAATTGTACTAACATATAAAAATACATGAAATCAAACAAAATCAATGTCTGGATACTCCATAAAATGTCTACATTCATTATTATGGGATATTTTATCAACAGTATTCATATGCAAGGAGCTGTAGAATCTATTAACTAACTGCCTTTCTTAAGATCCCAGGCATGAATAAAACATCTGTCAGGAATAAAGTTTTAAATAAATAATTCTAGCTCACTTAAATAACATTTTGCAATCAACATACAAGTAACCCCCAAGGGAATGCACAGCACACAAAACAGACTATATTTGGGGTGTCATATTAAGAATTTACAATTGCAGTGACCCACCTATACCCCTTTTTATTCTGTACTGCAGAAGATGTCCTTCTTTTGTTCCAACAAGCAAGATGTCATCTGAAAAATCAACAGAGGAAAAATATTTTAAAAACTAAGAAAGTGTAAGTGTCTGATACAAGTTAGATTGATGCTGAATTTGATTGCAAGGGCAGCAAGTGATGCAAAAACCTCTATGGGCAAATATGCAAGAAAAAGGAGAAATCTGCACATGTCCAGCATATTTTTGTGTTAGAGTACCCAGAATTCCACAAACTGACTAACACAATTTTTGCAGCATCTTAATAATGGACTTAACATAAAGGCAACCAAAAATTAGTTTCATACAGTAAAGTTAACTGTTCATATGGGCAACCAAAAATTAGTTACACATCCATTTAAAAAGGGGAACGACAGTACCAACTAACAGTATACATTCTTTTACATTTCAGATCATATGCATTACTGAGGAGATGGATCAAATGAAATGTACACGAAGGTATGTATATAATGGGTTCTCCTTCAAGTTCAATTACAACTGCACTCGCCTCGATTGTCACAGCGATCACACCATGGAACATACTAATTTTTTATTTGAAGAAATAAGTACTAATTGCATGTTACATTTTATAATACATTTATATCAAGCTCATTTTGTTTGTTTATTTATTTATTTTCTCTAATCAGGAACCAAACAATATTATTCACTATTAAAAAAAACTTACCATAGCATGCAATAGATTCAATTTTAAGAGGTAATTTTTCCAGCAAAGCTGTAGCTTCATATGCATCGTGCATCTTATAGTTTTCTTTGCAAATTCTGTTTTGTTTAGACCATGGTTTGTTGCAAAATTAAAAAAAACAATTGATTGTTTCTTCTAGTTTCTCTTTCCCTCACATGACATATACTAAAATTATTTTCTGACATTAAAGAGTCATGGAACGTACTCCGATCCCGAATCAAAATGAGTTGTTATCTGCACTAATAAAAAATCAATGTTTTTTTTTTTTTACATTTATGAATATTATTTCTTAATAGACACAATTAATAGTTTTACATATTAACTTATAAGTTTTGAATGATGAATTAGTTGGATAGAATATGGTTAAGGGAATGGTCACATTTCAAGGGAAAGAACTCCAATACACCATCGGAAATGACAGGCTGACAGACATCTCTATTCTTTCACTAGAATCACCCAATATGTATCGAAGACATCGACAAAGGAATATTCTAAATGTCTTGAATGATAGGAGTGTTTCTGAAGACGTGAATAGTAGAAAAATAATATGGGACAGACTATCAGGCACCAAAACCCTCTTCTTCAAAGATTTGAAGGAACATTTTGGATGCGTAAATGCAATTGAATTTTCTCACCAAGGTGGAGAACTGATCGCATCAGGCATGTCCTTTTAACACTGTTTAAATATTTTTTATAACAATAGAAAATTTAATATTAATAAAATGTTTTTATTGTAAACAATGATTTTCTGCCCATTACATCTAGACCGTATGTAAAAATTCTGCAAAGGGATAGGACCATGAGCCCATGACATGTTTCGAACCTTTTAACTTTCATAATCTTAGTAAAATTATGTATAGGAATATCATGAAATATACTTTTAAATCATTTTATTATCTTGTCATGATAAATTTTAGGTGTTTTCAAATTGTTTCCTCTGTACTTAGGTCACTTCCATTAATTATAATTTTAAAACAATATAGGCCTAATATATTGTGCAGGATGGAAGTTTGGAGTACACTCTACCAGTAGTTTAATTTCAGACTATCCACCCCAATCTAATTAACCAAATTGTTCACATTTCTCCTTAATCCCTGCTTTCCTCATTTTTATGCAACTTTTTACCTCTTTCCTAATTGTTCTCAATATCAGTTGTCTTCTTTACTTAACTATTTTAAACCAAGTGTGAATAATTATTTGTTTTATGCTACTGTCAGGTGGAGATGACCGCAGAGTTTTGATATGGAATGTAGAGAAAGCATTGTCAGATATATCCAAACCCTGGTCACTAAAGGGAGAACATACCAGCAACATCTTCTGTCTGGCCTTTGATACAGAAAATACAAAAGTATTCTCTGGAGGTAGGTTATAAAACATTTGCAATCATAAACACATACCTTTAAATTTTCTAAGAGTATATATCATTGATAAAGATATCAATAAACTATGAACATAGAGAAAAAATTATGGAAGCTTAGATTTCTGAAGGGGTCTGAAAGGTTATAATCAACACATATTTTTATCCTCATTTTATTTTTAAATTTTATTGTTTCATTTTGATTACTCTGTTGTAAGTGAGAATCAATGTCAGAAAGTTATTTTTTTAAACACTTAAGCATTTTCCCACGGTTTGAAGTTGAAAGATGTCAATATTTACAATTTTCAATTCAATTCACTTTATTGACAATTACCATGTCAGCATACAGTCATGTACAATAATAACATAAAACAGACATGTAAAAAGTTTCATGTTAAACATATACAAGTAGTGGTCTTGGTATTCAACAATATTTTTCATTTTCAGGAAATGATGAGCAAGTGATTGTCCATGATTTACAAACGTAAGTTCTTGTGTTTATATGTCATTATAAAAATAACATTTGAAAATAACAGAGGTATTTGAACTTTTCAAAGGGTTTTATTTTGCTGACCATTGAAAGATGTATAATGAAAGAAGTAAATAAATGCTTCCTGAAAGCAGGATTTTTTTTTAATCATGTAAGAAAATTTTGTACCATTAATTTATAGAACTTATACTTTAACACTTTATAAAAGGATTGAGACACTTAGTGAAGATGATACAATTTTGAATCTACTTTAGAGGAGAGACTCTGGATGTGTTTTTACATGAGGATGCTGTGTATGGTATATCTGTAAACCCAGAGAATGGGAACGTGTTTGCCACAGCATGTGATGATGGCAAGATTCTGGTTTATGACATCAGAGAGCCTCCAGCAACAGGTATTGATGCAAACTAACACAATTCTAACCTTTTCAGTGAAAATTATATCATTCCAGTTATTACTTGATTTATGAAGAAACTTCTTAAAATATCTAATGCCGGGCTTGTATTTGGGTGCCAGACCTTCAAATTGTTATTTTAATATTTTGGGGGAGGAGTGGGGGATTTGAACACAAGTATTAATTTTGTAAGACAAGCTTGAAGGGAAAAATTGGCTCAGATGACAGGTATTTCAACTACTCAGCATGTTTGCTATATTTTAACTTTTGCACCATCATAAACCTTGGATGTAAATGCAACTGTATCTATGAATACCCCAGGGTTTTTATTCTTAATTATATCCTCATCATTTGGTTCATGTACAAAGTTTGTATTATCAGTATAGCTTTACTTTCTTTGAATTTAATTTTAGCAGATGCCATTTGTCTGGCAAGTTACACTTCTTCCATGCATGCTGTGATGTTCAATCCAGTGGAGCCCCGTCTCCTAGCAACAGCCAATGCCAAAGAAGGACTGGGATTATGGGACGTCAGGAAACCTAAGAGGTAGGAAAATTGTGATGGCACTTCTATGTAACAAATTTATTTCTTTTTAGGCAAATGATGACATATTCTAGTACAGTATGAAAAAAAGAGAATTTTTTTTTTAAATCTATCATTTAAAGGTGAAACAGAAAATTAAATGAAGAAAAATTTGTTATGTAACAGTTGTTAATCTACTTATAACTATTCTCCTTCACACTCTCATACATGTATATGTAGTGGTAAAATCTAGAAATATCCATATTTTATATTATGCTGTGTAGAAAATTCAGTTCTTGGCTAGTTTCTAGGCTTTCAATAAATATTTTGTAAAATAATTATTGATGCCTAATTGATATGATAAATATTAATCATAATCCATCTTTATTCTTAATTTCAATAACCAGAAATAAATTCCTCTAGTTTTATGCATTTTAGGTGCTAAATAAAATTAAGGAAATATAAGGACAAAATATATTGATTTTAGAGAAACAATACACCAGTAGTTCAATGAGATTGTCAATTAAATGTATATGTATATGCTGTAATAAAAGATAATTCTAGGGAAAAAATTACTGTGCACCCTTGTTTCTTAATATATCATTTTCTTTCATTTCTTTATTAGTTGTTTATTGAAATACGGAAGTGGTGTTGCTCAGCAGAGTGCTAACAGTGTAAGGATAAATAACACGGGTGACCGGATCCTTGCACTGCGCCGTCGACTTCCACCAATTCTATACAACATCCACAGCAGCAAACCAATATGTGAGTTTGACCATGCTGGGTATTTCAATTCCTGCACAATGAAAAGCTGCTGTTTTGCTGGTGACAAAGATCAGGTACAAATTTGATACATATTTTATGTATAAATTCTGTTTTTAGTTCAGCTTTAGTGCCCCAAAGGTCAAAGACTGAAAGCATATTGTTTATGGCATGTCTCTGTTTCTATCTGCATTTTGTAAACTTGCTCATAACTTTTAAAATACCGGGTAAACAAAAGTAGTTTTTGACTACTACATTTTATGAATGTGAGCCAAGGTCATATAGACAAGTTCAAGGTCAGAGGGATTAGGAGTAGAAAATTTTGCCATAACGCAACTGGGCCACACTTGGGAGCATCTATGTTCTACAAACACATTTTGTTAGATTTGAACTTTTCCTGATATTAAGATTTATAATATTAACAGTATTTAAGATGTTACCTAAATAGACTTATGTGATAGGAGGATGCTTATGTTATAAAATATACCTGAAATATTTTGTCTTTTTCAGTATATACTGTCTGGATCAGATGACTTTCAGTTATACATGTGGAAAATTCCAGAGGATTTGTCATCAAGTAAGTTCATCACATAATACTATAATGCGTAAATTTTTTGTCGATTGTAGTATTAAGTGTATTGAATTAATAAAATAATCAGAGTACACAGTAAGTCACTCCAAGTTTTACTTGAGCCCTGTACACAAGTGAGCCCTATTCACAAGTGAGCCCTCTGTGCACAAGTGTGCACTGTACACAAGTGAGCACTGTGCACAAGTGAGCACTGTGCACAAGTGAGCACTGTACAAGTGCTCAACATACAGATGACCACATGTGATATGAAAAAAAAAATAAAGGTGATCTTTACTTGAAATGTGAAGTAAAATTGGATGCAAAATACTTAGTTCGTCTTTTCAGGATGCTACATACATGTATATGGTTCATGTAAATATTTGTACTGGTATTTGTTGATCATTGATAAGGATGCTATGTAAATGGTTTTTATGTAAACACATATACTAGTACTTGTTGAATATCATTAGGACAGCTTGTAAATGATGGGTGTAAACATTGGTACAGGTATTTATTATTGTCAGGACACTCTAAATGAATGTAAAACATGTGTACTGGTATTTGTTGAACATTTTGTTTCAGGATGCTATTTGAATGATGTATGTAAACATTTTTGAACTGGTATTTGTTGTACATTTCTTTAGGACGCTATGTGAATGATGCTTACATGATCCTTCATGGTCACAGGTCTATTGTGAATCAGGTTCGCTTCAACCCTGACAATCACATTATTATTTCTTCTGGAGTTGAAAAAATGATCAAGGTAAGTTTTTACATCAGTAAACTACTAGCTAGCATTAAGTAAATGAAAAGATCTGATTTAAGTGTTTAGTTTATCTTCATAGCAAAAATGGCATATAAAGATGGGTGTGATTTTGCTCTTCCGAGGCATATCATGCAGGCAAAATACCTTATTTTAGAGGATAGGGGAATTGATTTCTGGCCTCAATATGAATAATTGGTCAGAGTTAATCCCTAAGATGAAGCATACTGTAAAATTAATTTTTATGACAGACAAAACTATCAAAAGCCATTACCGTACTTTTAGCTCAGCTCAGCAAAGTTGGGGTGTGTGTGTGTTGGGTGGAGGCTTTCTATGCTCCATTATTAGTGTCCATTCCATCATCTGCATCTCAGATTAAAAATTTTAGGCAGATCCATTGTATAAATACCAGTATTGCATGTAGTAGAGGGTAACATTGAAAATGTTCACCCCAGGAAACCATTGTTGATTGAGGCACAGCTGAGGTTTTCGAGGGGGGGGGGGTCAAGGTTACCCTCTACTGTGTGCAGTATTTATCATATTATACTGAATGTTTTATACAAATACACATAACAGTGAACTTTGCATGCATAAATTCTGCACAGTCAACATTTTTTGAATATTGCCCTTCTCAAGCAATGTTGGCTGTTGCTACATTCTATCTTGCTGGAGGCAGAAAAAGTGCTTCTACATTATGTCATTGTAAATTATGTAATCTTTGATTTATTTTGTTCTCATAGTCATTTTCTTGAAGTTGTCTTCATTTTGTTTACATTGAAGGTGTGGAGCACTTATCCCCTTCCGAACACTTTGGAAATGACTAATAAAAGCATTAAAGAACGTCCAGTGTACAGTCATGAAGAGTATATAAATCTCATTCTGAATAGTGGACAATTCATGTCACATGACTATTCTAACCAATCAGTGGAAGAGGATCCACGTATGATTGCATTCTTTGATTCCTTGGTTCAGCGAGAGCTGGAGGGTAACAGCTCTGATCCAGAAATGTCAAGTGGAGAAGAAGAAATATATGAGAGAATAATGCAGTTGTCTAGATCAGATATTTCAGACACCTCTGAGGATGAGGTAAATGTAGTCAGGCATGATGGATCTTCGCCAGAGAGACGTGACCTAGATAGTGACACAGACAGTATCGATGATCCCGCTTTTAGCCCTTTCACTCTGGCATTTGCAAGTGTCATGGCTGCCCAAGCCACAGATAGAAACCCTGCCAACAGACTCTTGAATGCTCTGTCTGGTGAAAATGGTAATAATAATGAAAACCAGAATTCAAGGCGAAGCATTTCCGAACTCATTGCTCAAAAGAGAACTGAAATGAAAAAAAGAATACAGAATGGTAAATTGCCCAAACGAAAGAAAACACAGATTGACTCTTCAGACTCAAGTGATAATGAACAGCATCTAAGTGAAAGCTTGTCTGGTCACCCAGACAATATCATTGCTGCTCAAAGACAGAGGAGACACTTACAATTACAAAGATTACGACAGCTTCGACAAAGTGTCCTTCAAACAGAAGAGGAGAGTTGTGAAGAAAATGAATTAACATCTGCTTCAGTGAATTGTCATTCAGAGCCTTCCACATCTAAGGGAAATCCAGAGTTTGGTCCATTTTTATCCCACAACAATAAAAACAATTCCGCTCACAGCTCCTGTGTGGAAAATGGAACGGAAACAGAAATACTTCTTAGTGAAAAATTAAACTCTCACGTGTCAAATCAAGAACCAAAAGACAATGTCAGTGATCATTGTTTTGACAACCAGCAACCAGGTTGTAGTCATGACAATGAGGGAAATGGCGAGGAGGAAGAAAGACGACAGAACTGGACAGAATTCAAACGCTTCAAAAACAGAACGAAAAAGAATAAACGTGTATATCGTAAACATAATGACAAAGATGATAATTAAAGTCATCAAACAATTCAGCCAGCAAAGTCTGAGAACAATTTAATCATGCTGGATTCATGTCAACTTTATTTTACTAGTAGTTAGTAAATACTTAGCAGTTCAATCATGTATTATGACACTGAAATGAATTTACATGTATGTAATGATTATTTCAACTAAATAGTGAAATTCCTCATAAAATTTTATCCAGAAATTATACAAAATAATGTTAAACTTCATTATTAATTCCATGAATTATATCAAGTTCAGGTATCAAAACTAACCCCACAAATATTTTTGCATCTGTAATCCGTAACTTTGGGGGAAGGTTATGTTTAGGTTTGTTGTTTGGTTTCTATTTCTGTTTGCATATTGTGATGCTATATTTTGTCATTGTTTTCAAACTTTGTTAGCATCCTATACATAACATTCTGTACAAATTTGTTGAATAAGACAGATATATATTAATAATATGACATGCTTCTAGAATGACTTTTGAACCATAATTTATCTGTACCACACTAAGTAGTTTGATTTGAGCATCTGGAATATATACATTTTTCCCCTGCAGATTATTTTATTATTTTTAATGGCATACAAACTGCATTATAACTTATCAAAATAAAACAAATGATTGTGTATTTTTTGCAAATTATTTGAAGGTATAACTTTACTGGAAATAATGCAATAGTATACAACAATGTGTTAAGATTTGGGATTATTTTATCCCCCCCCCCCCCCAAAAAAAAGAAATTTTAAGGGTATATAGGAATATCAGTATGTTGTCTGTCTGTCCTTGCAATTCTGTCCAGTCCATAACTGTCTCATGGAGAAACATTGAATGTACATACCCCATTCAAAGATTGCTCTTGATCTTATGACGTAAAAGTGTGTCATGACCCTGATGCAAAGTCACTTGGTCAAGTTCAAGGTCTTTTTTTAAATGTGTATATAACTCCTGTCCTGACCATATCTTGTTACAGAGAAACATTGAAAGCTTATACTTAGCACAAAGATTGCTTATGAGCTGGGGGTGTGTCATGATCTTGACCAAAGGTAATTTGATCAAGTTTAAGGTCACTGGCAGAAAAGGTGTAAAATTCATGTCTTGTCTTTAATTTTCTAATGGAGGAAGACTGGAAGTTCAAACTTCCTACACAGGTTACTTACTACCAGAGGGTTTATTTTCTTAAACCAAGGTTATTTTGGCAAGTTCAAGGTCACTTTTAGAGAAATGTGTAATAGCACTTTAAAAATATATCAGCAGGTGATATAATTTTGCTCACAGTTCCTATAGTTTATATTTGGGTCACAAGTAAAAATAGATTTGATGCAGCATTGCCTTTGTCATAGCAAGTGACATTGTAAGCTACTTTTAGACTGTAATTAATTTTGAAGCTGTTGAATTTCTATACATGTACAAAAATGAGGGTAATGATATAGAAGTTAGATATTTACACTGAGAAGCATGTAGAACAGTGTAACACTGTACTCGTACACTTCTGCAGAGATTCTTGAATATTCATTTGAATAACTACAACTCACAATTAATTTCTTATAATACTAGTATATCGTAAGTAGAGAAAGTTTTGTTTTGTAATTTTGGTTCAAAAATCTATTTTGTGTACATTTATTTTATGTCCCCAATTTAATGTATCAATGTAAAAATATTTCAATTATTCAATCAAACTTTAATTAACTTCTTAGAATGTACCAGAAAGTGGGGTAAAAAAAAGAGTTGTGTTTCTTTGAATTGTAAGCTCATGGTAATGTTGCTTGTCTTAATTTTTTAATTTAATAATGAGTGACTAAAATGAAGTAATATTTTTACAATTGTCTATTTGTAAGGTCGGGTATGTGGTTTACCTCTCTGTACATTTTCCATTTTTTTCACAATTCATCTCTGTTTTAAATTAAATAAGATCAATAGTAAAAAGACTTTAATCAATTTACCAGTAAAAAGGTATATGTTATGTTCCACAATATTTTACATTTTACCAAGGTTGAAATGTATCATTGTTTATTTTTGTTTATAATAACTAAGATCATGCAAATTCTAATTATTAGAAATATAAATATGTACATGTATATATTAACAATATTGAACTGCAATAAAGCAGCCTAATTTATGGCGAGTGCATTGTTTGGTTATTGTAATGCAATCTCTGACTGTAATATTAATTGTACGTTTTACATTATCACATTAAAATAACTGCTATCTTTTAAAAATCCACCTCTAACATTTCTAGAGGTCCGTGTTTTTTCCCAGTTCATGATTTGCATTGATTACAGAATTTATGAGACCAATCACTCTTTGTTATATCTTCATCTGATTGGTAGGCTAGCACCCTATCACTTTCTACACAGAAAAAATGATGCAATATGTTTTTTTTTTTTAAATTTTTCAAAAATATTTATAGTATTGGATTTGTAAAGTTCATGCAGAATGCAAAACATGACTTTAATGTAATGCATGTAGAATAACAAATATGACTTTAATGTAATACATGTAGAATTACAAACATGACTTTGCTTTAATGAAATACTTGTAGAATTACAAATTGCTGGCTTTGAAAGTTGCAAACGAAATCAAAGGGCAGTTTTTTATCATATATATCCCCAAAAAATCTTTACTTTTATTTGGCTAGGTTACCATTTGCCATTTCTTTCTTTTACAAGCAAATTTTTTCCCCTCCTTTCTCCCAATTGGGGCAACAGTGCAATCTTCAATTCAGATCAAAGATTTTTAGCTCACTTCAATGAAGCTGGGGGAGCTTATGTAATACCCTCGGTGTCGGCATCCATGTCCCAAGTTAGTTTTTGGAGCAGATTTCTTTTCAAGTACTTCTATGCCCTTTATTGATCAGAGATGCATGGACAATGCTTTTAGTATGTTTTAGTGTATCAGTTCAGCTTTCAGATGCTGCATTTTCAGTCAAAGAATGAGCAGGTTAATGTATTTGGAGAGGTTAAAGTTTTTGGAGCAGGTCTCATTTCCAAGTGACTATAAGCCATATATTGACCAGACTTGCATGGATGATACATCTAAGGATGCACATTACCAGACTTGCTGGATCTGAGTAGGTTCATTCTAAAGTAACTTTAAGCCCTCTGTTGGCTAAACTTACATGGATTATACATATAAGGATACACACCACTAGACTTGCTTCAGATGCTGGATTTGACCTACATTTTCCAGATAAGCAACCAGGTTAAAGTTTTTGGAGCAGGTTAATTCTCAAGTAACTATAAGTCCTATGCTGATCAACCTTACATTGATGAAGATACAGAGCAAACTTGCATTGATGATACATCTAGGGATGCAGTGTGCTACCAGACTTCCTTCAGATGCTGGATGTGAAGTACACTTTCCAGATGACTGACCAGGTTAAAGTGTTTTAAGTAGGTCCATTCCCCAAGTGACTATAAGGCCTACCTAGACCAAACATGTATGGATGATGCATCAATGGATGCACACTTAACAGACTTGTTTTGTATGCTAGATCTGACCTGCATTTTCTAGATGAGTGACCAGTTTAAGTTTTTAGGATAAGTCCATTCCCAAGTAACTGCAAACCCTACCTGAACCAAAATTGTATAAATGTTGCCTCTAGGGATGCACACTACTAGATCATTTGCCTTTGGGACTTTGCCTATCTTCAAGATAACATTTGTTGAGGTAAGCTCTGTAATCTTTGATTACCTTTGTTTTTTCGGGCAACAGGCCAGGTGTTAACTCTTGGAAAATTCACCAGCAAAGCAGGCTTTACAAATGAAATTTGACAGAACGTAATGGAAGGTCATTCTTTGGTCAATATACTGATACAGATTATCTGTGTTGATATATATATATAAAAGTAGGATAAAGACTTCAGAATAAAAAGCTCTGAAGTCTCTGGTTTTATCCTTCACCATAAGCCTAACACCAGAAGCTGACATACACGTACCCTCTGTAAACTTACAATTTGTTGAAATAATTTTTGAGAATGAGTGGATTACAATAAAGAGGCTTGACAAAGGGCATCTGAAACGATTCATTTTGAATTTTTAAATGACCCAAACCCATTTATTGAGCATCTCCACTTGAAGAAGTATATCCCTTTATTTGAACATTTCACTTAAGTGATTCCTCCACCGAGAGTATATTGGACATCTTTAATCATTTACTAAATTAAAAGAAACAAGAGACTCATGGGGCACAACAATGCTCACCTGAGTAACTATGGCCATTCCTGTTTTTCATCAGCAGATTCTTTTTCCTGTGTAAAACTTTATGTGGATGAATCCTTATAAAGATGAATGATAATGGCTTTGCTGTTCTTGAGAAAGATTTTTCCTACATTTTTTCTGTGTGAAACTTTGATTGCCCATTGTGGCCCCACCCTACCCTGGAGGTCACGATTTGAACAAACTTGAATATACACTACCTGTCTATGCTTCCATATGACTGATCATGGCTTTTGTTCTTGAGAGGATTTTAAAAGATTTTTCCTATATATTCTTAAGGAAAACTTGATTGCCCATTGTGGTCCCACCCTACCCCTGGAGATCATGATTTGAATGAACTTGAATTTACACTAACTGTGGATGCTTCCATATAAACATGACTGATAATGGCTTTGCTGTTCTTGAGATTTTCCCAATGCATTCCTATGTAAAACTCTGATTGCCCATTGTAGCCCATCCTCCCACCTGGGGTCATAATTTGAACAAACTTGAATCTACACTACCTCATGATGCTTCCAAATAAATATGACTGATCATAGCTTAGCTGTTCTTAAGATTTTTCTTATATATACCCATGTAAAACTTTTATCACCCATAGTGGCCCCATCCTACCCCTGGGGGTCATAATATGAACAAACTTGAATTTATGCTTTGTCAGGAAGCTTTCACACAAGTTTCATCTTTTCTGGCCCAGTGGTTCTTGAGGTGTTTAAATGACTCCACCCAATTTTTACTTTTCTTATCTCCCCTTGGAAAAGGTGGTGGCCCTTCATCTGATCAAACTTGAATCACCTTTACCCAAAGATACTCTGTGCCATGTTTGGTTGAAATTGGCCCAGTGGTTCTTGAGAAGATGAAATTGTAAAAAGTTAACACCACCACCCACGACATACATTTTGATCAGAAAAGCTCACCTGGGCCTTCGGCTCAGGTGAGCTAAAACATGTATATCATATGCCCCCATTTTAGACTAGATTTCTCATTAAATTATCAAAAAGAGACTTGCTCACCACCAACCCCCTTTCTGACCATATGAAGGCTACTTAAAAATCATTTAAATCAATTTCATTTTGCTGAACTGAGTCTAGGTAGACAGATCACATCTTTTAGCTGCAAATTCTTACAACTTCCAATCAGGTCAGTCACCCCTTCATAAAATTTTCATTTCATATGCATTACAATCATGAAGCTATTACTTTCTAGTTTTTACCCTTCATACACATTGACTAATCAGCAAATAAACATCAAGTATTAAGACAACTTCAGTCAGGTTCTATTTTTACTTATGAACACTCCAAAATGACAATGTTAATTTTTTGTTAAAATCAAGCAAATTTTGAACAAAGAAACATTTTTTGTCACAGCAATACATTGTACTGCATGCAGACATGTTAAACAAAAAGGTGAAAAGAGCATTACGAAATCGTCGACAAAAAAAACACTTGTTCTTGTTAAAAGTTGTTTAAGCTGAGCTAGTGTACTTTGTGACAGCTTTGGTTCCCTCGGACACGGCGTGTTTGGACAGTTCCCCGGGAAGTAGCAGACGAACAGCCGTCTGGATGTCACGGCTGTTCATGGTTGGCCGGCGGTTATACTTGGCCAGTTTGGACGCTTCAGATGCAATTCTTTCAAATATATCGATCACAAACGAATTCATTATACCCATGGCACGGTTCGACATTGTTAGTTCGGGATGGACTTGCCTCATTACTCGGAAGATGTAAACTTTAAAGGATTCCTTCCTTTTCTTGGTCCGTTTCTTTTTGTCTGGTGCTGATTTTCCGGTAGATTTCGGCTTTGGTGGACGTACAGTTGCCGGTTTACTCCCCGATTTCTTTCCTTTCGTCGGCATCATGCAAGATTACCAAGTTCGGCGCCAAAATTCTTGATGCAGCACGTGATGAAATGAATCGTACACGAGTTTTCATTGGTTTTTATAAAAGCATCAGTTCTAAATTTAGATTCTGAAATTAGAGAGAGAGAGAGAGAAAGAGATGTGTCTTCTGTTGATAAGCAATCACTCCTGTTGTAGAAGTAAATTAATGATTTTTTTATTACAACACCACAAAAGGGATTAAAAAATTTACAGAAAAAGATTAAAAAAAGAAAGAAAGAAAAAGATAAATCACGCTTTAACCAATATTTGTTAAAATAGTATGCCAGTATATAATTTCGAGCCATAATTTTAAATGGTGTAAGCTTTATTGAAATCTGTGGTTTTCTTCAGTAGCAACAAAGTAAAACATTGTTATAAAGAATGAAAATCCTGTGGTTGAAATTCAGATCCACACTTTGTCGGTATTCTAGAAGGGTGGCTTAACTAGTAAGCAAAGTGGCGCATGGATGGTCTCCTCGTATGAAATCCAGCACTTGAACTGTGGTCGTGTATAGAAATTGGAGGGGCTTAGGGAGTATTTCGTGACATGTTAGAGAGAAATACATGTACTTCTTTGATATGCATGCCCCACCCCTTCAAAAAAGGGGGGGGATTAATATAGGAAGATGACATTTGAATTCTTTTAATTCATGTGCGCTTTGGTTTCTACTGCTTATGTACATTGCGATTTTTATATTCTACTTAAGCATTAAGCTTTAAAGATGTATCGTGCGAGGATCTAGAGGGGGGTCCGGACCCCCTTAGAATTTGCAGAGTTATTCAAAGTACATTGTATATAGCAATTGTATGAAGCAAATAAAAAATGACTTTGGACCACGCCCTCCCCCCCCCCCTCCCCTTAGAAAACGTGGACCCCACCATCACCACCACGAAATCGGTGATTTTCACGTTTTGGAAATGGATTTTAGGTTTGTTTTGTTGTTGTTTTTTTTTTTTTTTTTTTTTTGATTTTGCTTGTCTAGAAATTTTATGGATTTAAAACGTTTGGTAAGGGAATTTTTGTTTGTTTGTTTTTGTTTTTTTTTTTTTGTTTTTTTTTTATTGTCGAGAAATTTTTGGGTTAGATTTTTTTTTGACTGGGATGGACCCATCCTGGAAAAAAAATTCTGGTACATATAAATGTTTATATAGATATATATAAACATGTATACTCCTTTTCACCTTTTTTTAGACCCTTTACATGTATATTCTTATGTTTGTTCCCTCTTTCTGTCCATATGGGCCCTGAATTATTAATAAAGCTTACCTTATCTTATGTAGACACTAGTATTGAAAGTTTTAGCTCCCCCCCCCCTTTCTGTGAAAGTATTTTTCATTTGCTGTCGTAATTTTAAAGTATACTCTGCCTCTCCCCACTCAGCACTATATACGCATCACAACTCCTCGACCGGAATCCCCTTTCCTGTCTGGAAAAAGCTTCCTTTGGGTTAAAGAACATTTCCTTAACAAATTATCTCTGTATAAGTATATACATTTTAGCGTTATGAGATATGCAACCGAGGTTACTGTATTTTTGTTTATTAAAGAATTAAAGAGAAACAAAGGTTATAATCCCACTTTTGATATTAACATAGCCCCATTGCCTGTAAATCTAGGAGGTTCCCCTGATAACAGCGATATCATTCTTAAATCTTTTGCAGTAACCACGGCATCTTTCCCATAAAATCCTTTGAACCAAATATGACCTTTCTACCAAAATGTTCTTGTAATTATGCTCAAAGCTTCAAATTAGTGATTTTACGTCTTCGCCAGAATGTTTCAAATACGCAGTTAACATTTGCTATGGATATAGAGTCACATGTGAATCTGATGGGTCACTGTAATAAGTAATGAGGGTCAATATTAAGACAGTTCCCCTTATGACACTTCGTCTCGGTTTTTAAAGTATCCTCCAAGAATTCTGATTTCCCTTTTTTTTTGTCGTTAATCCGAAAAAAAAAAAAAAAAAAAAAATCACGACCCAATAAATGTTGCATACTAATACTAGTGTATATCAGCGTACAGTATATTGTCCGTAGTATATTGTCCTGTGACCAGCTGTAACTAAAAAGTACAATGCTACACATACTTTTTGCCGTGTCCCGTAAACAATAAGACGAAAGGGGATTCAAAATTTAAAGAAAAATTATGGACCTCACATTGATTTTTATTGATTTTTTAAGAAATTAAAATAGACTTAAATCTATTTCGGCGATATGCCGGGTTACCAAAGGCCAAGCAGTGCATTCGGTGAAGGCCGGTTTGAAAATGAAGTCCACTAGTACCCTAATGTTCTACAGTCTTGCCTAAATGTATATGTTCCGAGAATAATCTTGACAACCAAATCAAACATGCCGAATAAAGCATCACCCAAGTTCAAACAGGGCGAAGGAATCGATGAGACAAATGACGACACTCATATTTATTAATCTTACATAACAATCTACAGGTGCTCCCGAACTACGAAGCAAATTTCCAGGGTTGCTTAGATGAAATAAAGAAATTCAAGGCTGATTTTATGAAAAGAGCATTTAATAAAATGGTGAATTCCAATGTGCCACTCAAAGTTACGTAACAGTTTTTTTTTAATTTAATCTGAAAGTTCGAATTCTTTATAAAAAATAACTTCAAAGCACATTAAACTTGCATATTGCTATGTAGAGATAAAAAGAAGATATATAAAACATTTCTAGACAGCATTATTCTCTGGAAATTTTGAGCGTTTGATAAATTTATAAATATAAAAAAGACTTGTATGAGGAGACCAGTTTTAGAGTTTAATTATTAAACCAGAACACAGAAATCTAATTAAAAAAAAGGCAGTCGCAATAATGTATAATATTTTCTCTTTATACTCCATTCTAAAAATGTATCTATGTTTTTAAACAGTCAAAATCTATTGTGGTTTCGATAGATTCGATCAAATCCAGAAGGTGGAAAAGCTTTAGGAAATAAATGTTTAAAGCATCTAAAAAATTGTGCAATATTATCGGAAATAATATTCCCGCTTGAATTTGAAAATAATGTAGACATATTACTTAGTATATAGTATATATTACTTGATATTGAAACAGATGTCGATTTTGTAAAGGTACGTTCGATCTAATGATATACATATATATAAGAGGGTTGTCCCAAAATTCCGTAGACAAGCGTAGTTTTGTAGGAACCCGGTGTCATAAATTAATGAAACTTTGTACAAAGGTTAAACCAACAATAACTAATAAATTTATAGACAAATATTAAGTAATTACACAGATTGACCATATCTAAATAAAATAGTTCATTGTCTGGTGTAAGAAGGCGGCGTAGTACCTAAAAGTTGCAATTAAAAATCTGTATATAATATTTAAAATCCCACAAAAAAGTATTTACTACTAAGAATCTCAGTAATAGAAATCAAAATTATTATTATCGTATTTTTAACTACCTTTTTTAAAATTTTGGTGTATATGGTTTAACGAATATGAATTTTGTAATGTGATATATCCACCGTTTTGAAATCTGACTAGTTGAAAAATGGCGTCTGCGTTGACACTGGCGGCGCACTTGATCAAATGTGTTGATCCTGAATTCCCTCCTACAAAAATGCATGTTATAAATGTTTGATACACATGGAAATGTTTTCTGGTCCTCAGAATATCAAAATGACTGAAATGGTTTCTGTATGTGAAGAACGGAAACTAATTTTAAAAAAAAAAGCGAGCAAAGAATCGGGCAAGAGTAACACTGTACAACTCCATCAAAGAGGGCAGATGAAAAACCCGTAGAAACATATGGTTTTCAAAATAATATTGTTTCATACATGTACATGCACAAACTTTGTTCATATATTTTAATGTTTAATCATATCATAATGATTAAGATATATCACATTTATATTTATAATTTTTATGATTAATTAAAAGAACTTGATTCTGGTAATTAATGTATTTCCCCCAAAATTTGAACTTTTTTTGACGTCGGAGATTGCTACGGGTGTTAGAGAACCATAACACTTCAATTCTTGTTACTCAAATTGTTTTTAAGTGATCATGTTAAAACTTCGTAATTTATCTGCAACAACACACTATATCTACCCAGAAAATTTTATAAAGATATATTATTTTCTGTAAAAAATATGAGCTCAGTCTACGGAATTTTGGGACAACCCTCGTATATGTATAAACCATAAAAAAAATACACAAAATGTACATATAATTCGGGGACATTGATCAGTTTATGAAACATTGATTTTTCGACCTTTTTTCGATAGGCTCCATATACCTATGATCCGGTATAATTTATTTATTTTGATAAAGTATACGTATTTCGAGAACAAAGACTTTCGCACCGATTAATTTTCATCAAACCTGACAAATGACGAAGTTTTTGTTTACCTTTCCAAACAACGTAAACGAAAAACGATGCACTCTCACACGTTGACTTATAAATCTTACCAAAGTTCGTTTAAAGATTAAAACAAAATCAGCGGAATATTTGTTAAATGTTATTGAGTTCTGACTTCATGATTATTCCAAAAACACCTCGAGCGTTTAGGATTGATTTTGACATTAAACCCTGGATTAACCCTTAGCTATATATTACCTACCAGGGATATGCCTGGAACAAAAATTTCAGACCCCGGAGTCTATTATTGAAGAAGCCAAGGAATTTACTAATAAATAATTTAAAGTCTTTAAAATCTATTTACTTTAAACTCGGACTAATCTCACGGTAACATGAAGGGTAGCGCCTTTGGGGATTACATTTGCTGTGTCTTAAAATCCCAAATACAGAAAAATGCGATAGTAATCAATTGGAGAATCTATAAGAAATTGATTTACGAAATATAAATAACAGTAGGCATGTCCCGAATGATTAAGAAGATATCAAATTACCAAAAATAATTCATTTAAGAAACATCGCTTGCTAGATTCTAACAGAAGAAAGGAGGCGCGTGGTATGTACTGGTAGTAAATTTTGGCAAGAAACAAGGAAATTTAATTTCT